CTTTTAACTGCCAAGCTGGTGCTCTTTCACACCACAGCCTACAGCAGAACCTTAAAAACTGTTCGGCCTTGGTTTTCTTCTGTATAAAGAAATCTTGGAGTTTTAATAGCCCAGAGTTCAGCCTTGGGTGGCTCAGCATGTCTGTCATTCCAGAATTTGGGAGGTTGAATGAAGCAAGAGGATCTTGAATTTGGGGCCAACCTGCGCTATATCATGAGTCCCTGTCTCAAAACTCAAAATGACAATAATAAAAACAAAATGACCAATGGTTAAATGTGTACTATTGTTTCAGATAACATATTAAATGCTTGGACACATACTAACATATTTAATTTTCAAAAAAACAATCAAAGGTTGTGTCCCAGAACACAGAACAGGGAGAGTAAGAAAATAAAAAGACCTGGACAGGCTCTAAAGCTACAGAGAAACCCTGTCTCAACAAACAGACAAACAAGCACCTGAGAAGGTGAAGTGGGGTCCATCCCCCCAACAACCTGGGTTCAGTTACACTGCACCCTGCAGTCAGTGTCTGCTCTCTCCCTACACGTGAGAGCCTGGGCAGTTGTGTTTACTAAATGCCAGGCACCTTGCTAAAACATTTGGGGGTGGATAAATGGGGCTGCAGTCCCAAGCCATGTGTTTGTCCTTTCAGAGTCATTTCTGTTCCACTTTTAGAGTTAGATGACAGGAGTTCGAATTTCATCTGAGTTCAAAAACATTACTCAAGATGATCTTCACTTGCATGCAACAGAATTAATAGTAAATTTTTTAAAAGACATGTCAAAATAGCTTCGATTTGAATTCATATTTAGCCTCAAAAGCACTTTATGAATCTTTAAGTAATCGAATCAAGAGAGCATGGTTTTCTCTTTTGATTTGTTTTTTTTTTTTAAAGTGATTAACTAAATGCCTTTCCTGGCCTCTGCCCAAGAGCCCACAAAATCCTGAGGGTTTACAATATAAATCCTCTCCAACTCACCTCTCATAACACACAGACACCTCCATTCCTGCCCTCTCTTTAAAGAGTCCACAATAGCTGGCTCCCCTGGGTCAGGGGAGGTGGCCCCTTTCTCTACTGCTGCAGTAAATTACAATTTTTGCACCAGAGAAAACCGTGGTGATGGACACATTAGCCCAATGCAGTCATTGAGTTCTCTTTAACTCCAGGGGCTGGTGTTGTCTAAGCATCCTTTTTTTGTCCTTCTTTTGAATTGTAGAATATCATTCATGCTATTTTAGATTTTTCATGTTAGAAAACTGATAAATATAAGATTTAACTAAATGTAACCCATTTGTTTATGTGTTCATTTGTTTGTAATAAATGGCTGGAGAGCTTGCCCTGCCCTGGACAGCATACTGAGACTTTAGGTGTATTGGGTTTGTAGAGGAAGCAAGATAGCTCAAAGGCACTGAGAAAATTTCCTAACAGATGAACCTCAAGACTGGATGCTGTATCTGAGTCGGTGGGAACATGTTGATGTCATTTTGAAGAGATTGCCTAGTGGTTTTCTTAAAAGGCCCTTCTAACTGATATTGACAACAAAATTATAAGAATCTAAAATGGGAACCCAAGGTTTATTAGATCAGGTATGTGTGGATGTAGGGGGCTGTGCGTGGAGGATTTCCGCCCCCAAATAACCTTGTCTCTACTTTCTGAGATGGGAAACACAGAGACATGCATGGTACTTTCAGGTAATGTTGGCAGAGACGGCTCATGTGGTCAAGGCTTCTTGTGTAAGCTGCACAGCCCTTCAGGTGGCTTATGAGTCTAGCAGTTGGGTGAAGGTAGCCAAAGCCCCACCTTGAATTGGATTGCTGTTTGTAACAGAGAAAGCACAGCCTGCACAGTTTGAAGTGGTGATCGGAATAGACTTCCTGATGTGGAGTCAGGTGGAGCTTAGAAAACAGACAGGCTAAACAAGTAATATTGCCTCTACAAAAATCATACAGCATTTTTTAATTTTTTTGATTTCAAATTGAGTTTATGGAACCACATTATGTAAAAGATTATTTAATAAACCTGGAATTGAACTCTTTTTATGAGTTCAACTGCAATTTCATGTTATTGGGTTTTAAAAACTAAGCAACTCTCCTCCCTTATCTTTGTTTCCTTTGATGGAAGCAGTAGGGAAAGATCACATATTTCTCCTTGTTTGTTTTGTTTGGCCTTTCTGCCTGGTAACTATGTTGGTTACCAACCTGACGAGATCTTTTCAGTATTTGATGAAGTATTCTTATAGGTATTAAATTTTGGTAGCCAGGCAGAAACTGATGCGATGCGAGAAGGTGGGTGAACAGTCCTGCGACAATCACGCCAAAGCATACTTTCCAAGGTGCGTTTTTCATCCCTAGTTTAAGTTCGGGTCCTGCTCTTCATTCGCATAAGGTGGAGGCAGTTCCTGAAACTGCTGTTTCTCCTAGTCCGTTAAAAAGTTATTCGTGCCTGGGTGGTATTTCCTCCTCTTCAGCCCTGCCATTCCCCACCTCCATCGCCTGGCTTTTGCCAGTAGGGACTTGCCCTGGGGGGTATTTTGTCCTGGAAACACAAAACTATTTTCTTTTCTGGAAATACGTTGACGTCAACTGGAAGCTGTTTTTGGTTGCTTTGTTTCCCGGAGCGTCCAATCCAGCATACTGCCTCCGGCAAACTGCTAGCAATTGGAAGCAGCTCCCCCAGAGGAGAGTGGAGCCGGTGTCTGCGTGGGTGCTGGTTGGGGAGTGGCTGTAGGCTCGCCGGTCTGCTGCAAAAGTGGGGGGGGGGAGGAAGACCTGAAGAACTACTCCCCGCCCCCCCGTGGGCCCCAGTTTGGAGCTGCATCCTCAGGCAGAGGTCGGAGCTTGAGTGCACCCTCATCTCGTGGTGCTTTTAAGAATTCGAGGTAGTTAGGTGATTTGCCCCACTGAGTTTTCAGCACTGCAGCAAGTCTCAGAGAATCCAAAACCTGGCCGCATGCTGGGACCAAAGGCCCGCTCTCCGGAAGTGGCGGGGTGCGACTATCAAGTGCCGCTCATAAGCTGAGCTCAGGGTCAATGAACTTAGCTGCCCACTGCTTAAAGTTCTAGGAAGCTAATACATCTCGCTACATATTTCCAGTGGCTAAGACAGAGAACAGAACGCGGTGACAAATTCGACCACATCTCTACTACCACCTGGGGAAGGATTCCCCAGAAGTCCATCCCAAAGATCCAAAGATCCTCAACTCCTTGGACAGATGTAGGCTGCCTGTGATGAGAGGGCGCGTGGGCGTGTGTGTGTGTGTGTGTGTGTGTGTGTGTGTGTGTGTGTATTTCCCCAAGGAGCTGAAGGAAACCTGAGAGACAGGGACTTGTTACAACTTGTTTCACACCTGGCATTACTTCCCCAACACTCTGCGGTGTCCATGGCTAAGGAGGCTCTTGCAGGGCAACTAAAGATGGCTGCAGAAAAGCTGCTGTCACCTCCTTCCTTAGATGCCCACGCGGCCCGGACTTAACCTTTCTTTCTTCTTACTTAATATTCTTTGTAAATTACAATTTGATGGATGGTTTCTATTGAGGCACAAAATGATAAACGCCCTGAAATAAAAAAGATAGGCAACAGGGAAAGAGAGAATAGTTGAGACAGATTCCCCATAGCTGAATTGAGACTTAGATGCAAATTCCAATGACGCACGCAAGGACCCAGTGAGGCTGCCTCCGGGAGGTCCGGCCTGGCACATGGGTTCTCTACTGGAATCTGGCTCCCTTGGTTCTTTATGGTCTTGAGTCTCAGACATCTCAGGAGAGAGCCTGGGGACACTTGGGCTTCCCACGGAGTTGGAGAAAGTTAGGAGGAAGCTCATCTCTGGAGACTACCCTGGCTCTTGCCACCAAAGAACAGTTAAAGGGTGGCAGTAGGGTGCTATTCCCCACCACCACCAGGAGAGAACGGAAGGTGGGGACCGAGAAGAGGAGCCCAGAGCCTAGGTGCACCGGAGGCAGGAGTTTGGCTGGAAGTGGGATTGTATTTCCTATGGGAAAGAGGGACCCGGCGAGCTCTTTGGCTGTCTTTCCAGTTTCCGAGGTGCCCGCCCCCACGCGCCGGAGGCAGCGCAGCCCCGAGGGCGAATGCAGGGCAGTTGGCGAACTTAAAAGTGAGAGCGCGCTCAAGATCGGATTTGCCAGAATTGTGGGAGAGTGGGGTCGACCCAAAGCCCAAGTTCACTTTTTCCAACAGCTCGCTCTCCCGCTTGTCCTTTAGGGATCCGCGCAGCTTCAGTGCCAACCTGGCACCCCTTGCCCCGGTGTGTTGTGTCATTTTGCTCTGGGGCAGGAAGGATAGTGGCCCGAATGGGTGGCGAGTGGGTCCCTGAGGTCCCGGAAAGCTCCTCTTCCCACGTCTCCCCTCCCACCAACACCTCCCAGTCTTTCCTTCTTGCACTTTCCCGGGGCTGGCTAAACCGGCGCGGACTTGCCCCAGACCTTTGGGGAGCGCCCCAGGTCTTTAATGACAGCTTAAAAGTGGCAGTTGGAAAAGTCTAAACAGAGGAGGCTGACGTGGGGCGTGTTCCGCTCCTTAGCAAGAGTCGGGATGGGAGCTGGGAGCCGCGCTGCTGGCCCCAGGCCCCTGCGCCTCGCCGCCAGCAAGTAGGTGGGGGAGCCGCCGCTGCCGCCAGCCCCATCCCGCTCCCAAGCCTCGCCCGCTGCGCCCTGGCCGCGGGCACTGAGAGGGTGCAGGGCCTCGCGGAGCCTCCTCCACCCAGCTCATTAACCTGCCTGCTCCGGGCGGTCCGGACACCGGCTTCTCGCTGCAGCACCCGCGGCCAGCACACTGCCGCAGCTGCCGGGATCCCCCGACTCCGGGGGGCAATGAGGGGGCGGTGGAGGGGGCACTGCTCCTCCGGCATTACCTAGAGAAGCGACACCGCCCCGCCCTGCCGTCGGCCCTCCCTCGCGCCCGCCGGGGCCCGCGCGCCGGCTCTGCTAGAGGGTAAGTTGGGAGTGTTTCGCCCCCACCGACAGCTCTCCCTCCCTTTCCTATTTTCTCCCCCAAAGTTTTCCTAGAAGTGGAGATCGGGCTGGGGGAGTAAGAAGGTCCGGGTGGCCTCCCTCTTTTACCCTCTCTTGGCCATAGTTACCCCCCACTTCGTCTCCCTGGCATCTCCTCGCCCCTCCCGAGTAGCGCTCAGGAATGACAATTGGAGCGCGGCTCCTTTAAGAGCCCGGCTTTGCCTCCCGGTAGCTGAAGGTCATTAAACACAAAAGCTCTCAGCGCTGCGGTCCAATATAGCGCATGCGCCCTGCCCGAGGACTGGCAGGGAGACGGCAATATGGCGAGAATGCCTGGCAGCGGGGACTGTAACACCAGCGCGGGCGGCAGCGCCGCCTCAGCGGCAGAGAACAATGGGGAGCGGGGCGAGGGCGAGCGCGGGGCTGGGGGCCGCGGCCGCCGCCGCGGCCGCCCGCACTACTGCAGCGCGGGCGAGGAGGAGGAAGAGGAGGAGGAGGAGGAGGACGAGATCCAGGAGGTGCAGATAACGGGGGACGAGGAGGAGGACGGAGGTGGGGGGCTGGAGGAGGACGAGGAGGAGGAAGAGGAGGAGATGGGGATGGACTGGGAAGAGCCCCTGGAGCCGGAGGACTCGGCCGGGGAGGAGCTGGAGCCCGAGCCGGTCCATATGATCCATATGGACCAGAGCGCCGCGCTGGAGCCCGAGGCGCCGCCGCGTCTGCTGGCTCCCCGGGCCCGCGCGGGGCCGCCGGGGGACAGCGCGGAGCTGGACCCCGACGTGCTGCAGCGCCCCGAGCGGGCCCGGCTGAGCGAGAACACCCGGTTGGCTACCCGCTACGCCGTGCGCATCTTCCGGGAGTACCTGAGCGAAAAGGCTCAGAGCCCGGACTTCGAGACCATGGACAAGGGGGCGCTGTGTCGCGTGCTGCGCTCCTTTTACGCCGAGGCCCGTTCTAAGAGCGGCCAGCTCTACAGCAAGTCTTCGCTCATCAGCATCCGCAGCTCTCTCAACCGCTACCTCAATGAGCCCCCGTACTGTCGCACGCTCGACCTCACCAAGGACCCCGAGCTGCGCAGCGCCAACCTGACTCTAGCCGCAGTCATCCGCAAGCTCGAGGAGCAGGGCGCGGGGCCGGTGGTGCAGAAGCAAGCCATCACGCGCGCTGACCTGCGCAAGCTCTACACCTCCAGCGTCTTCAGCACCAACACGCCCTTTGGGCTGCTCAACAAGGTCTGGTTCGAGACCTGCATGTACTTCTGCACGCGCGGCCGCGAAAACCAGCGCGAGCTGGAGGAGGACTCCTTCGGGCTGGCCATGGACGAGGACGGTCGCAAGTTCGTGTACTTCAAGTCGCTCGGGCCTTACCACAAGTCGCGCTCCTCGTCCTGGAGTAAGAAGCGAGCGGAAAGCAGCGACGAAGAGAACTTGCCGCGCATGTACGAGACCGGCACCGAGTTCTGTCCCTATGCCAGCTTTGTCAAGTACCTGTCGAAGCGCAATCCCCTCTGTAAGGCATTCTTCCAGCGGCCACGGGACCACTGCAGTGAGGGCGATGTAACCTGGTACGAGAACAAAGCCATAGGCAAGAACTTGCTGGGCACCAGGATGCAGATGCTCTCCAAGGCAGCCAAGCTGTCCAAGACCTACACTAATCACTGCATCGGCGCGGTGTCCATCGCCACGCTCAACAGCATCGCGGGCATCGGGACCAAGCTAGGCTCCCCGACCCCGCAGGGCTGCTATACCGAATCTCTGAACGGGTCAGCTCGTCACCACTCCCACCATCCCCCCACCCATCCTTCCCACCACCACCGCCCCCAGCCGCCCTCTCTGGGGAACACTTATATCCTCCCCAAAGACAGCCAGGTCGGGCCCGACGTGAAATCCGAGGCTGTGCCCAAGCGCGCACTGTACGAGTCAGTGTTTGGGTCCGGGGAAATCTGCGGCCCTTCTTCCCCCAAAAGACTTTGTATCCGTCCTTCCTCGGAACCTGTGGATGCGGTGGTGGTGGTTTCCGTGAAACACGACCCCCTGCCTCTTCTTCCAGAAGTCAATGGGCACCGAAGCACCAATTCTCCCACCATAGTTTCACCTGCTATTGTTTCCCCCACCCAGGTAACCAAACCAAAGTCTATGCATGAAATATTTGTCTGTTACACTTTAGGACTAACTTTTGTGCTCCCGTCAGTTGAGGGGGTGGGGGATTCTTTTTTAAGTAGCTGTTATACTGCACTGGGTTTGATACATTCCCTAGAAATGTAACTCTTAGTGTTTGGGGGCAAACTCTAGCCCCTAACCTTAAAAGATGCCAGGGGGCCTTAGCTTCCAAGTCTCTTCAGCGAAGTAACAAATTAACGCTAGAAACCTCAGAGTTCTCAGAACAAAAGGTTTAAGCTCATTCTTGAAGTGCCTCTCCATGATGCCTGAGTTTTATAAGGGAAGGATTGCCAGAGTGCAGAATAGAGGTAGTTATCTTAAGTAAATTAGAATAAAGTTACTTTTAAAATGCTCCATTACATACTCGCCATAACTTCTAAAGGTAGAAAAATACGCTTCTAAATTATTAAAAGAAAAACCTGCCAATTCCACTTCCCGTAGATAGCTTTTGTTGTTGTTAAAGAAAAGGGGCGGAGATGCAGCGGCAGACAGTGGAGTGCCTGTTTATTCTTTTTACATGCAGCCGCGTGTACCGTGACCTTTGGGGTGCCGTTCTCATTAGTGTTGTTAACAGTACTCAGATGGGAAAGTGATGGCTGAGCTAGGGACATGATACACAGACGTGCAGCTGTGACGTGCCAAGCTGGCTGTGGGCACTGAAACAGGTTTATTCATCCCTAGCCTGTAGAGGCTCGCTATCTGGGGCCCAAACAAGGAAGAGGGGCGGGAATCCGCTCAGAGTAAGTGGACAGCAGGACTAGGATAAAGCTTGGACAAATCAGTTCGCCTGTCTGGGCTTTAGGTATTGTTGTTGAACCTGAAAGAAACCCACAGCAAAATTCCTTAATCGGTGACAGTAGTGTGCACAGAGATGACCTGCCCGCTAGTGTCTTTCCCCTGCTGCTGTGCCTGGAGAAGCCTGCTCACCCGACTGTTAGGGTTATGTTCCTGTCTTGGATGCTTCTCCAGAAGGCAGACATGGATGGGAGCTCTCTTGTGGCCCCATTTGTTGGCAGGAGTCACAGGAAGTTTTTACTTTCTTGACACCCCACCCCCACCCATCCACACATGCTATCAGCAGAAATAGGAGAAATAGCGAGGCCCATCACTACCTCTGTGCTCTTTCTCCAAAGTGGAAATTCCAGTTCTGGACAAGCTGACCCTTTCAGAGGCTTAGGCATGCCTCAAGGCGGCCAGGAGGGCTGCAAGTGGCAGTATAAACATCCCTGGCTTCTAAACCCACAGAGCCTGCCGCAGTGTGTCCTGTGCCCTCTCTCTCTGTGCAGTTCATTCTATCAGGAGTCCTTTAAAAGAAATTTAAGGATGGAGAGTCGAATTGGACTTTACTTTTTCTTTGAAAGCAAAACAAAAATGTTCACATTCTTCTAATAAATACCCCTCAAGTGCCCTGGGTTAAAAATCACACCTGATTGGGAGTGTTAACCCCGAGAATGTATATTAAATGTGTATGTATGCTGGACGGTAATGAAATGGTCAGTTCTGGATTTGGTGTCATGTGGCTGTGTGACTGAAGGGTCCATAACGGTTTTTGGTTTGTTTGTTTTTCTTCTTCTTTCCCGGCTTTTGTTTTGAGCACACCCTTCCACCCCATCACTGCATTTCATTTACCCTAGGGAGCCAAACCAGCCTAGAAAACTTTTTACTGAGACTTCTTTTATTCTCAAGTCACGGTCAGGCAACTCCCAAGTTAAATGGATATGGGTATATTTTACTTATATGATTACCAACCATGGCTGTCCAGCAAGGTCTTAGCTGCTAGGCTCTTTTAGTTACAACTACAGAAAAGGGGTTCTATTTGCGCTTTTTGGGGGGTTCCTAAAGATCAAGCCCAGGCCCCTGTGCATAATAGGCAGGTGCTGTATTGAGCTCCACCCCCAGCCCTGTTTGCATGTGTTTAGTCGTCAACTTTCCAGTTAGAATACAGTGGAAAGCGTTTCTGCTTTTAAGAAACCAGCAGGTTTAACAACTGGCTTCTGCAGAACTCACTCGAAGGGCCCTGGGCATTCTCATCACGAAACACATTTGCTTTATGTAGAAAGATTCACTAAACTTTACCTTTGGCATATATTAAATCCCTATCTTTGCAGATTAATGATGGTCAAGGTTAGTGGTCAGTGGCAACATGGAAGGATCCATTCTTCTCGGTCACCTCAACTCTTGGAGATGCTCAGACTTTGAATTCCAACTGCGTTCTTCTTACTACCACCCCACACGGCACTGAACCATGGTTTTCCCGACACACACACCTGTCATAAAGTTTGATTTAAACATCAGGCACAATAAGAGATGGGCAGTAGTACCTTTTGATGAAAGTAGAACCAGCACAATATCCTAAAGAAAACTTAACTAATGCTTATCTTAAAACTTATCTAAAGCTTCTTTATTTCTGGAATTTCCCATTTAATATCTTTAGACCATAAGTGACCGCGGGAAGGAGAACTATGGGTAAAGGATGACCAATCTCCTTGCAAGGGTGCTAACAAATGTCTTCATCTATGGGGAAGGTAGAAAAATGAATACACCCAAGATGCGTAGGAGGATGGAGTCTGTGAGTTTCTCTGGAGTTGTCTGCTTTGGTAGGGTGATGGTAACTCTGACACGGCTCTGGCTCTCCTCAGTGGTGTTAGCAGTCAAACCACTTTATGTCCGCTCCCTCTGCACGGTGTCGTAATGATCATGTTTTTGGTAGTAATTGCTCTCTTCGTTCCACTTCATTATTTATTTCAGTGTCTGGGAACTGAATCCAGGGCTTTGCATATGTTGGAGATCTCCATTTAAAAATGTAACACCGTCGAGTGTCACACACTGTAATCCCATCACTGGAAGGTTGAGGCAGGGGGGTCTCATATGTATGTGAGGCTAGTCTGGGCTTTAGAGTGCAATCTTATCTCAAAAATAAAATTTTAAAAATATTAATTGGAAAAGTAGGTTTAATATTATATCCTAAATCTTTATAACTATTATCTTTGCAGCATTTCCCTATTTAAGTAGATGGTAGAGATTCACAATTCGTTTTTAGTTGTGCTATGATCGAATCAGGACTCGCCAGTGTGATCATCAGGCCCTAACACTGAGCTGTACCTGGAGTTTTATACTTCATCACTCAAAAGAAGAAGTATTAATAATCTTATGTTCTACTTGCCATAGTTTTTTGTTGATGTTTTGGTAGATGGTTTGTGTGTCTAGTGCTAAATAAAAATGGGAAAGTTAGTTCACTTTAAAACATACTTCGGGCTGAAGATGTAGCTCAACGTTAGAGCTCTTACTTTGCTGTTATTCTTTCGTTTTTGGGTTTTTGAGACAGGGTTTCTCTGTGTAACAGCCCTAGCTGTCCTGGAACTAGCTCTGGAGATCAGGCTGCCATTGAACTCACAGAGGTCTGCCTGCCTCTGCCTCTGGAGTGCTAAGATTATACTTTGCATGCACAGAGCCCCTCATATCTCTCTCTCTCTCTCTGTCTCTCTCTCTCTCTGTGTATGTGTCTCACTCTCTCTCTCTCTGTCCCTCCCTCTCTCTCTCTCTCTCTCTCTCTCTCTGTGTCTTTCTCTCTCTGTCTCTCTTACTTTCTCTCTGTATCTCTCACTCTGCCTCTGTCTCTGTCTCTCTCTCTCACTTTCTCTCTGTCTTTCTCTCTCTGTATCTCTCTCACTCTCTTTGTATCTCACCCTGCCTCTGTCTCTCTCTGTTTGTCTCTGTGTGTCTGTCTGTCTCTCTGTCTCCTTTCTAATGTGTATATGTGTGTCCCTCTCCCCCCAACATCCAGAGTACTTCCAACTTGTGACCAAGGTGTCTGGTTACACTTGCTTGGCTCTAGTCCAGATTAATTCTGGAAATACTTTTAAAGAAATGCGGTAAGTAGAAGTCCAGTAGCATAAAGGTTCAGGTGGGGTGAGTACCCTCTTTCTGTGTGACCTGCCTCGTCGTGTTCTTGAGTTGGTCCTTACAGCACACAAGCTAGACAGAGGAGCAGCCACCTAGCTGACACACACATAGCCCTCCAATTCACCTCTGGAAGAAGCCAGAGGCTAACATCACTGTTGCGTTTGGGGGTGCAGTGCTGTTGAGAGAAGGCTGTGCCGTGTAACCCAAACTGGCCTAGAATTGCCAGTGGTGGAGCCTTTGCTCCTAAGTGCTAGAATTCCAGGTGTGCCCTACAACACCTGGCTCCTGGAATTGGCTCTCATTCTGTGCTGCCGTGTGCCGCGCTTGTGTTTGATGGACAGAAGTGTGCATTTGATGGACTGAAACTGACTCCCAGGTTGTATTATGGGCTGGAAGACTAGGCAGGTGAGAGTTTGTGCAGGCAGGAAGGACAGTGATGGAAACAAGGCTTCTCGCACTGACCACTTGGCAGCACTAGGCTTAATTGCCTCGTTAAAATTGTGTTTCCTGGTGTTTTTTTTTTTTTTTTAATTATGGTTTGTGGCTACCTTCCTTTTTCAACAGTAGGATGCTTGCTCTTTTAGGGAAATTTCAAACTGGCAGAGGAACTACCTGTGCTGTGCAGAAGTACAGAGCTGTTTTGTCATTCAGTAAGTAGTTTCTGAGTGTTGACTATTTCAGCTTTATGCTAGGAGTTTATAAACTGATCAGTTTTCTACTTGGCAGGCAGTCTCCTTGGCGAGATTTCAGTCTCATTTCGTATTAAAACCAGATCAAAAGGAAAAATGTTAGAAGGTGATGGAGGGTGTAAGGCCTCATGTAGCTCAGGCTAGGCTTCACTCCTACACCTCCTCTTTCTGTCTCGTAAGCACTAAGGATACAGGTAGCAGCATCGTACCTGGCTGGTACTCTCAACTGTTGTTTGGAAGAAAGTAATCTAGTTTTATATCCTCCTTTGTGTAAGCTTACATACTAATATTTCTATCAAGTACTAGGGATGTTATTAGTATTATTTTGCTTTCATTGCTGTGGATGATGTAGCATCTCACTGTGTT